ACACCCGGTCCCCACACGAAGCACTTGCCATGGATTCTGGGAGCCCCAGGGAATGCCCCCATGGAGGAAGTGGGTGCCAGGGAGGAGGATCCCCACCCCTGCTTTACCCACAAAGTGATAACAAAAAGGAGGGGGGGTTGACGAAAACAACTTTCCTGAGGAAAGAGACCAGGCCCCTCACCCCAGCCTTTGGGCCCTCCAAGGTCTGTGCCAAACTATTCCCCTCTAGCCAGGGGCCAACAAACTTCCCATAAAGGACCAGAGAGGGAGTATTTTCAGCGTGGGAACCAGAGAGTCTGCCGTGACTACTCAGCACAGCCACCATATGCAAGAGGTGTATGTATGGGTGAAACCATGTGCCGATAAAACTTTATTTGCAGGTGGAGGCCACATTTGGCTGACTCCAGGATTAGCCAAGGTGCTTTTCCACTTGGAAATCAAGCCCATCCTTCGAAGGCTGAGCTCAAAGTCCAGAAGCCAAGAGACTACTCACGGGGAGAAATGGCATAGTCACAAGAACAGGAGTTGGAGAGCCCCATGGGATCCAGGGCCCACACCCACACCATGCTGGGTGACACAGACCAGGACCCAGGTCTCATCACATATAAACTGACCTTGTCAGCAGGACCTGCTGCATGGGCCCACACTACAGTCAAATGGGATAATGGGTGGGAAAGATGCTCCTTCAACACTCCGTGGACTCTGCTTCTCCTGTCCGGAGCACTGACCTTGGGCACCTGGGTGCAGAGATACCAGACACACCCTACCCGGGGCCATTGACCCAGGTGGTCCCTGAGGCACACAGCCACAGGCCACAAGCTCAGCAGAAGAGGGGGCCACACCCCTCGTTGGCCTCCTGGGGCTCCCTCACCCACACCAGATGCCCAAGGCCCTGTCCAGCTGCTGGAGGCTGCTCGGGAACTGCACTCCCTGGCTGCCATCCACAGCAAGCTGCCTGCAAGAGGGGCAAAGCCTGGGGAGTCGGACCTGGCTGCAGATCCTGACGCTTGACCACGAGTGCACTGTCTGACCCCTGACCCCATGGCCTCGGTCTCCTCCCAAGAGAAGTGGGCCCACCCTAGTGGCTTCTGCTACCTCCCTGCCCTGCCCAGACCCCAGCCCCATGAGTGGCAGGGATGGCAGAGGGTACACAGTAATGCAGAAGCTTCTAGAACCAAAGGCTGGGCTGGCAGGTCAGAACAGACCCCTAAATGGCCAGAAGGGACTCACAGTTTCTTGTGGACTGCACCTGCTCTCAACCACAGCAAACAGGATGACCTGTGGTTCAACCTCTCCCCCAAGAGCCGGACAGAAAAGGACTCCATCCAGTGCGGCTCCTATGACTAAATCTCTGCGATCCCTTGTGTGGCTTCAAATGGCGATCCTTTACCTTGAGTCTGTTCACCTTATTGTACTTATTTTCTAACACTGCAGTGGGTTCCCCTCCTCCTCGATTGGGCCCATCCGCTCTGCTGACCACCTGCCCTGCCTCGTCCACCTGGTCTCTGCACAGCAGCCCCTCCTCGCTGCCCCCTTGCCGGGCCACAGGCCTCTCGACAGAGACGTCCCACCAGGCAGGGACCACCCCAGCAAGTCCTCCTCCCTCTGCGTGCCCTCCATGTGCTGCACCTCGTCCTCCAACCTCCCACAGCTGAAGTGAGCTCTGCAAGGGAGGGGCAGCATCTAGCTCCCCGCCGCCTCCTGCATACAGCACGGGCTTAAAAAGTTCTCACCCCAAATCACATGATTCTGAAGCTTTGTAAACAGTGCTCCAGCCCAGAGGCAGACTCAGCCCTGGAGGGGAAGGCAGCTGAGCATGGAGCCTGTGTGCTGACACCAGGGGCAGCCAAGCAGCCTGTACCCTCTGCCATGAGCCCCTGAGGATGTGGCCCCAGAGGGCTGATGAACACTGATGGCAACACCTGCTGCAGCACAGGGCACAGGGGGCGCTGAAGGCTACCAGTGCTGAAGGCTGACTGTGCGCTGGGCACTGGGTGGGGCTCCGAGGACACGGCAGAGGCCAGGGTGAACGTGGTCGTGGCTCAGGAGTTCTGACCATTTCACATGGTGACAATGACTGTGGAGAAACAGGAGCTGGTGACAGACCCAGCGTGCCGGGGGTGGGGGAGGGTCCAACTCCTGGTTAAAACCCATGTGTGACTCTTCAGGCCAGGCCAGAGGCAACTACCAAGGATCTGCCGGCCGGCCCTCGGGGGCAGCTGTCCCCGCAGGACACACCTGGCATCCAGTGACATGAGCCATGACCTCTGGAGTGGGCTGCGGTGGAGAGCTGGGTCCTGGCTGGATGCGCTGGCATATTTGAATCCTCAGTCTCTCTGTCTGGGGCCCAGGGTCAAGACCTCCTTGTGGGGCTGGGGAGGAGGGGGACCCTCGCACTCTACCCCCACCCTGACTCAGCACCCAGGATGTTCCTGCTCTGAGCCCTCCCCCACCCCGGGTCCATAAAACCGCAGGCACTTTTTGCTCATGCGCCCTCCCCAGCGGGGAGACCCCAAGGCGCCAACTCTGTCTTTAAGGTGCTCCCACCACAGCAGTAAGGGATTTGGCTTAGCCCTTTCACTCCCACCTTGTGGCTTCAATCAGCTACTTCGACACCTGGCAGCTCAGTGCTCTCTCCCAGCTTGGATGAGCTCCTGACAATGGGGAGACAGGGTGACCATGGAAGGGTCTGTGGGGACAAGGCGTCTGAGCATTACGTGACAAGAAGGGGCAGCCACTGCAGGGCCTGGAGGGAGAGCTTCCTGTGAGGAAGGGATGGCCATACAAAGGCCCTGGGGTGGGACAAGCTGGAAGCAAGGTGTGTGGCCGGGCCAGTGACAGGAGGCAGGAGGCGACCAGGGTGACTGGCAGGGGCCCGATCACTATGCAGAGTGGCTTCCCAGCCGGCTGCAGTGAGGGCTTTGCAAGGAGGGAGGGAGGATGGTTCCATCCCAGCTCCCTGCCAGGAGCTCCCTCTAGTGGGCACCAGGTGGTGAGGCTGCCGGCCTGCTGTCCAGGAGAGGTGTAGTTGGCCTGGCTGGGCGTGGGGCTGAGCTGCAGGGACTAGGCAGGCTGGGGACAGAGGTGCAGCCAACACGGCGGGTGGGGTGGACACTCACCTCCATACTTGCTCATGGACTTGCTCTGGACTCCGCTGGTGACCATCTGGAAGCCATTGGCAGTGGCCGTGTGGAGCAGCACTAAGGACGGGAGAGNAGGGACTAGGCAGGCTGGGGACAGAGGTGCAGCCAACACGGCGGGTGGGGTGGACACTCACCTCCATACTTGCTCATGGACTTGCTCTGGACTCCGCTGGTGACCATCTGGAAGCCATTGGCAGTGGCCGTGTGGAGCAGCACTAAGGACGGGAGAGGAACAGGTGAGCCCGAGCCCTGGGGTCTGCACTGCAGCCACCAGGGGGTTCCCGCACCAGAGCATCCCTCACACCCCAACACCCCAGACTCTGCAGATGCAGTCACAGCAAACCAATTGGGCCGTGCAGATCTGACCACACAGACTCAGATACAGTGCACAGTCCTGTGTTTCTGCTTGAAATCCTTCCTCG